GCCACTTTTCAGCAGACAATGGAAAACATTTTACAAGGTCCAACACAGGCCGCTATTTATCTGGATGATGTGCTAATAACAGTGAAGTCCAATAAGGTGCACTTAGGGAATTTGGGCACAGTCCTCAGGCATTTCTTCCAGGTGAGCGTACACCTAAGAAGAGAAAAATGTGTGTTTCACGCACCCCAAGTGACCCACTTGGGCTACAGAGTAGACAAGACCAAGTTCCACCCGTTGAAAGATAAAGTGAGGGCACTGAAAAGTGCCCTGGCTCCCACGCCTGTACTAGAGCTTAGCTTTATCCTTGGGCATCAACTCTTCAAAACGGGTCAGCCTTGGAAATGATCACGTCACCAAGCCATAGCTTTCAGGAAATTGAAAGAACAATTATCATCCTCTAAGGTGTTGGTACACCGTAATCCCAAGTGAGATCTGGGATTGACATGCGCTGCTCCCTGTATGGCATTGTGTAGTTTTAGCTCATAGGTAGTCAAACCTTCAGACAGGAATGCCCAATAGCCTATGCTTCCAGGACATTCAGGCTAATGCAGAGTATAAATATGCCCAGACAGAGAAGGAAGGTTTGGCGGTCATATCTGAAGTCAGGAAGTTCCACCAATACCTTTACGGACATAAATTTATAATAATAATGGACCACAAACCCTTGCTTAAGGAGACAAGGCAGTGCCACCCATAACTTTAGGCTTAATTCAGCAGTGGGCTCTAATACTAAGTGTGGGTAATTACAAGTTGGATCACCATAGCCAAGTAGAAAATGTAGAGGTGCTGAGCTGCCTCCTGGTAGTCTGCCACTGGGAAGAGTGCGTAGCGGTTTTAACTTTTCTGGACACACTTTCATTCACAGCTGATAATATCAGACATTGGATGCAGAAAGATCTGGTGCTAGCAAAACGGAAGCAGGAGATGGTGATGGGAGAAACCAAAGGGCTGACATAGCCAGAATTGCTAGCTTTTTGGAACTGGAGAGACCAGATCACAATTGAGGGCGGCATATTATTATGGGGAACAAGCATGATTGTCCTGTTCATATGCTGCCACCATTTACTGGCTGAACTCCACCAGGGTGATCCAGGCATTTCCAAACTGAAGATGATGGCAGGAGGTTATGTCTGGTGGCCAGAGCTGGATGCAGACATAGCCTTGTTAGAGGGGCAGTGCCCAGAGTACCAACAAGGGGCAGCACAGTGGCTCAGTAGCTAGCACTGCTTCTTCACAGTGCCAGGGACCCAGGTTCGATTCCACCCTGGGGCGAATGTCTGTGTGGAGTTTGCACATTCTCCTTGTGTCTTCATGGGTTTCCTCTGCGTGCTCTGGTTTTGTCCCACAGTCCAAAGATGCACAGGTTAGGTGGATTGGCCACACTAAATTGCCCATTGATTCCAGCGATGTGCAGACTAGGTGTGTTAGCCATGGGAAGCGCATGAATAGGGTGGTGGTGTGGCTCTGGGTGGGATGCCCTTCAGAGGGTTTGTGTAGACTCAATGGGCCAAATGGCCTGCTTCCAAACTGTAGGGATTCTATTCTATTCTAAGGACAAAAAATACCACCAGCAGCTTCCCCCAAAATCGTGGGAGTGACTGGATAAACCCTGGATTTGGTTACATGTTGACCGTACAGTTCATTTCATGGGCTCAATGTTTTTAGTCATTGTGGACGCCCACTCAAAGTGGCTGGATGTACATAGAGTTTATCCATCAAACACAGGGCCAGCAATAGAAAAAAAGTGCACATCTTTTGCAATACACTGAAACCCAGAAGTATTGGTCACAAATCATTTACCAATAGGGAATTTGACTATTTCCTAAAGTTAAATAGCATTCGACATATAAGGATAGCTCCATACCATCCATCATCCAATCATCTGGCAGAAACAGCAATCCAACTTTTAAGGCAGGCTTAAAGAAACTGCCTACAGCTTCGCTGGATACCAAACTGTCCTGGTTCCTATTTGATTATAGGACCACTCCTCACGCAACTACAGGGATAGCTCCAGCAGAGTTGTTAATGGAAAGAGGACACTGCACCAGGTCAAATCTGATTTTCCCGGACAAGGGGGAATGAAAGGGAATCAGGAATGCCTATGCTGGACACAAGACTCCACTAAGCGAGAGAAATAGTTTACTTCAGGGGACAAAGTTTGGTGTAGGAACCACTGGAATGGCCCCATGTGGGTAAGAGGCATGGTCGACACAAGGTCAGTTCCAGTGGCGTATAAAGTTTGGGTGGGTGCAACGGTCCTGAACAAGCACATGGACCATATGAAAGCTGAAAACTCACAAACGGTGCGGGAGCAAAATGTGCCCACCGCATGTTAGCCTTTCTGACTGTTCCAAAACCTGCGGGTTGTCCCTCTCTGCCAAGCATTGAAGGTACCTCGGAATCTGAGAGGAACACAGCAGCTGACCTGCTCTGATGTCTTTGCCACCTGAAGAAAAGAATGAATTTTTTCCGAGACAGTCCAGGTGCAAGAGGCGAGCTACTGTGTGTTATACGCCACCCATATCAGAGGCAGAGTTGAAGGAGCCTGAACCTGTGCTAAAACGCCCCAGGAAGAGCTACAAACAAAAAACAACCGGCCTATGTCCTCAGAGATTGGACATCAGCCAGGTGGACCTCATAGAATATGAGTTTCCTGATTTGGGCTGTTAACCTGGTCCAATCAGGCTGACAGATAAGAACATCCTGTTCACTCTGAGAGCTGGCTCTGGGGGAGCTGGGTCAGTGTCTCCACGTGTAAATAGAAGGTGACTTGGTGATGGAATACTGATCTCTGTGGAGTTATTTCAACATTCACAAACATTCACTCCCTGAACCACCAATGCTCAATAGCAAGTCTATAGTGTCTACAAGATGCAGAAACATAAATCATCAAAGCTCCTCTGACAAGTGTCTTCCAAACTCCTGACTGCTACGATCTAGAAGGGCAAGGTCTGCAGGTACATGGAAGACCACCATCCTGCAAGTTCCCCTCCAAGCCACTCATCAACCTGTCTTGGAAACATATCACTGTTCCTTTAGTATTATTGGGTCAAAATCCTGGAATTCCCTAATGATATTCTGAGTGTCCCTACATCTGTGGACTTTAGCATTTCAAGAAGGTAACTCACCCCCACTTTCTCCAGGCTACTTCAGAATAAAATAAAAACAATCTATTATTCATCCACACCACAAATTCCATGATCTCTTGGATTTGATTCCTACCATGATCACATTTCTGCTGGAAACATGCAAGATAGTCAACCTGCTCGGATATGTTAATGCACAGACAACAGTTTAAACGTGAGGAACAGACAGTGAGGCCAAGAATACTCAACTTTCCTTTCGAATTGTGATAGGTTTGCCTTGACATCAGCCTGTGAGGCACTCACTTCACTGAACCTCTGTGTCACTGAAACAGAGGTGAAAATGTCAATTCACAGCACAGAAGACAGACTTAACCTGCACTATGCTTATTTTGGGCAATTTTCTGTCTTGTACTCAAATGCAGTTGTATGAAGTTGTGGCTGGATGTGCATAGAGTTAATTCATCAAACACGGGGACGACAACAGAAAAACTGTGTGCATCTTTTGCAATACACTGACTCCTGGAAGTGTTGGTCACAGATAATGGGCCATTGCACCCTGCGATCCCTAGCTCTGATCTCAGCCTCCTACACTCTTCCAACAAAGAGCAATAAAAGCTTGAGAGACAACACCTCATTTTAGTACAGCATGTTACAAGGTCTTAGGGAGTCTAATAGCTTTAGACTTAACCAGTGGCCCCTGTACCTCCCAGGTGAAAGGGATTGCTCAGAGACGGTTACTGCATCGATAGTCTGGTTGTGGAGGAGGATGTGAGTGGTTGGGATCCCTTGCTGATACATGGTCAGCACTATACAACCATGGAAACACCATGGTGTCCCACCACACCCCCAGTTAGCAGAAACCTTTACCAGTGTTGAACATCTCCCTGATATTGTGTTATTGTGCTGATGGTAATCACATATTCTCAAGTACATCTTTAAATTCGTTAGTTTCTCCTATGTCACCACATTTGGTTTTGTATCATCATTGTCACAATAGGAAGATTTGTGATGTGGTGATAGCCTATTTCTGGGTCAGACTTTCTGGATTCAAATCCTACCTCAAGGTTTGTGGGCTATGAAGGGAGGTGGTTGAGCAAGCTGATAATTACCCTGGAAATCCTGACACCCCTCTGCAACATTCTCCAAAGGGAAAGAGAGGTGTGTGTGAGGATACACTTTAAAAAAACCCTTGCTTTTGTTCACACTTGCAGACTATTCCTTATGCTCCCTTTTCCCACTGATACTCCTTCCTGATAAATGGCCGCCTGGAATACCTCCAAGTCCTGATGTAAAGTTATGAAAAGCTGCTGCTTGATTTGCTTTGACATTTTATATTTGTTTCCCTTCTGTTTGCTGGCTGTCTTGTAAAAGACAACATCTGCATTTATATAGGATCTTTCATAACCACCAACCACTTTACAGCCAATGAAGGTATCTTCTTTTTTGAAAGTGAAGTTACTGTAATAATGTGGGAAACATGACACCCAGTTCGCATTCGGGAAGACCACAAACTGCAATGCAACAATGAACTCATAAACTGTTCTTGTGATAGCAGTTGGAGGGTAACATTTTCCCAGGATGCAGGGGTGACTCCCTTACTCTTTGTCAATCCAGACCCTGGGGTCTTTTATATCCAGCTAAACAAACTTTGGTTTATACTGTACCTGAAAATAGTACCTTTGACAATGCGGTACTCCCTCAGCACTGCATTGGAGTAGACAAGCTTTTGTATTTGTGATGCAAGATCTGCAGTGGCACATAAACTAACAGGCTTCAGGTTCAGATTTGAGAGTACTGAGTCACAAATTGTGTGGTTCTTCACTGTACAGGTTGGCCTTGCCCTCCCACCTCTTCCTATCTCTACTGGATACAGTCCCAGCTATCTGAATTTGGGCTTTGGTGTTGAACACTTACTGTCTTGCCTCAGATGTGAAAGATCCATTTTGCAATCAACCTGGAGGTTCCTTAGTTCGCCAAGCCTCACTGCAACTGGAATAGGAGTGTAGATTTAGAAAGGAAGATCTTATATTTATCTAGAATCCTTCAGCACATCAAAGCAATGAAATTAAGCCAGTGATCTCAGATTGTCCGAAGAGCACAGCAGGATCCTACAGTTGGCAAATGAATGAAGGACCAGTACATCTGCTTTTGGTCATATTTGAGGGATGTGTTTCGACTGTGTCTTCAGTGGAATTCGCCTGATCTTCTTTTATTTTAACCTTTTTATTAATCACCCTGTTCAGAGATGTTATGACACACCTCTGGAGCAGGTGAAACTTGTTGAAACCAGGCCTCTAGGTTCAGGGGTAGGAATGCTACCACTCACCACAACTGGAGCCATCCCCTGCTTGTCTTTTTCTTAATTTAACCCATTTTTCTAATCAACATATTCAGAGATGTTATTGCACACTTCTGGAGCAGGTGGGACTTGAGCCTAGGTCTCCTGATCCAGGGGTAGAAATGCTACCACTGCACTGAAGAGGGCCCTTCCCCTGTTCCAAGATGTATTTCACCTGAACATATGTAATGTTGCATTTTAACGTGGGCATCTCTGACAATGTAACATTCCCTCAGTGCCACAGTGGGAGCATAACTTCACCTATCCATATCAGTGTACATTCTCACACTTAAGCTCTGCAATGGAACTGGAACGCACAATGGACTAAGAAAGCTGCCTAAAATCTACGTCCCTCCCATCAATGTTTTTGAAGTATTTGTCGAAGAGGTACCGTGATTTGCGATCATAGGCCAAAAGCCAACATGATACACAACTCACTCCATTTTCATACAATGGGGCTTCAGCTGCTAGTGCAAACACTGATGCAGTTTTCCAACAGCATAGTCTGAACACTTAGATTTATAATCTCCTGAATCAATGTATTTAATGTCAAGAGAAGAGGAAAACTCACTGCTTTCAGAGTACACAGTGGTCTAAACCAAGAACACTCTGATGGGCTAGTCCCTCCTAATGTAAATTTGGCAAAAGTGCGTCTCAATGTAACTTTGCTGCTTGTCAGGTGTTACTTGGAGGATCCTCATTTCATAATCATTATAGTGATACAGAACCGGAATACTGCTGTTAAAAACAACTTTGTCAAAGCTTTTCATCCAGTACTCATCAGGACAATTTTCAAGAATACCAATGAAAAGGGAATAACAATTATATGCGTATGAGAAGTGCATGCTGGCTGGATGAAAAGTGGACTCTGATTGGTGGCGGATTTACCAGGGGGAATGTAGCCTCTTGGCATTTCTTCATGGATGAAGACTTTAGAAATGTTGTTCTCATTGATGATGGACCCGGTGGTCACTAGTTAGACCCATCCAGGAGCAATAAATTCTCCCACATCGTTGCAAGTTAATAAATGGCTGCTGCTGGGTAGAATGCAGTTATATGATGACTGATAGTTTACTGCTAAGCTTTGGTTACATTTAAACCAGAACAAGCTAACTCTGAGTAGTCAAGACATTGTCCTGATGAAGGAATCAGAGAATGGATGTTGACCACTTTAGAATCACAGAATCCCTAGTGTGGAAGCAGGCATCTATCCCATTGAGCCCACAACGACCCACTGAAGAACGTCCCACCCAGACAAGGGCAATGGTGCAGATAATTTGGCGGAAATGCAAACACTTGTTTTATTGTCACACTTACTGTTATCCTTCATCCGTGACAGTTTGGTCTTGATATCAGTCTGGGAGTTGCTTATTTCACCAAACATCTGGGTAACTGAAATGGAAACAAAGATTTTGTTCTGATCCCCAGAGAAACCATCTTCCCTACTGATCTCTGTATTTGACACAGACATTCAGAGGTATAACTATTCAAATTTACCATACCCATTTCAAAATCGTTTGATTTAAAGTATTTGATGTTTGATCTTTTTGCACTGAAGTGAAGATATATGTCAGGTGCATGTATACTGACAGGAGTATATATCAGTGGGTTCTGTATCAAAAAAATGGAGAAGGTGTATATAAAGGGAAGTATATGCAGGGAAGTTGTACATTGCAAGAGTGCATTTCACCCAACATGTATTTAAATGTATATCATTGGATTTGGCCCAGATGAGATTTATTCTAGGCTGTTGTGGTACGCAAGGAGGAGCTTTCAGGGGCCTTAATAATGAACTTTAAATCTTCTCTGGTCACAAGTGAGGTGCCAGATGACTGGAGGACTATTAAGACTGAACAATTACTAAAAAAGGGAGGAAGAAATAGACAAGGGAATTACAGGACCATCAGTCCAACCTCAGTGGTGGGAGAGCTATAAAAAATAACTCCAATGAGCTAAATATATCTTCGGGAAGAGAGACAATGGTTAAACAGAGAAAGTATGGACTTGTTAAGGGAAGGCTTGTTGGACAAATTTGACTGAATTCTTTGAGGAGGTAACCAGCAATGTTGCTGCATGTAATGCATTTGAAGCAGTCTACATGGAAATTAGCAAAGCTTTTGATAAGATTCCCTCATAAAAAACTGGTCAAGAAAGTAAGAGTGAATGGGGCACAAGGCAACGTGGCATATGGGATCCAAAATTTGCAGAGGCAGGAAGCAGAGTGTGATGGTAAGGGATGTTTCTGAGAATGGAAGTCTGTTTCCAACAGGATGCCACAGAGCTCGGTGCTGGGGCCCTTACTGTTTATGGTGTACAATAATGATTTGAACTTGATTGTGTGGGGGAGTTGGGTGACCAAGATGTTCAGGAACGATATGAAAATTGGTTGAGTGGTATATAGTAAGAAGGATAGCTGTAAACTGCTGGAGAAAATAGATATGTCACTGCTGGTCAGATGGGCAGAGCAGTGATAAATGGAATTCAACCCAGAAAAGTGTATGGTCATGCACTTGGGAAGAGCTAACAAAGTAAGGGATCACACAATGAATGGTAGGACTCTGGAATGTACTGAATTTCAGAAGGACCTCGGTGTACATATCCACAGATTCCCAAAGGAAACACGGAAGGTAAACAAGGTTATAAGAAGGAACATGGGATTTAATAGCTGAAGCACAGAATACAAGAGCAGGGGGATTATGATGCAATTGCATAAAACATTAAGTTAAAAAAAAAGTGCCATGTGCTGATTATCATATTATAAGAAGGACTAGATAGGATGCAGAGGTGATTTACCAGGATGCTGCCTGGACTAGATAGTCTGAACTGTCAGGAAAGATTTGATAGCCTGGGCTGTATGGCAGGCAGTGAAGAAAGGAAGTGGTATGTTGGCCTTAATAGCAACAGAATTCAAGTATGGAACAGGGATCTCTTGCTGCAATTGTACGGGCCATGCTGAGACCACTGAAGTATTATGCACAATTTTGGTCTCCTTATCTGAAGGATGTTATGACTCTGGAGGGAGTTTACCAGACTAATCCATGGGAGCGCTGACATATGAAGGAAGACCGGATTGGTTAGAACTACATTCCCAGGAGTTTAGAAGAATGAGAAGTGAACTCATAGAAAGCTATAAAATTCTACCAAGACTAGACAGGGTAAACGCAGGAAGTATGTTCCTGATGACTGGAGAGTTCAGAACCAGGGGTCACAGTTTAATGATACAGCATGGGCCATTCAGGACAGAGGGGAAGAGAAATTTCTTCACCCAGAGAGTGGTAAGCCTATGGAATTCTCTGCCACAGAAAGCCCCTGAAGCCAAACCATCTGAATGTTTTCAAGAAGTTAGACATTGTTTTTAGGGCTAAAGGGAGGAGGAGAAAGCAGGAACAGGGTACTAAATTGGATGATGAGCCATGATCATATTGAATGAAGGAGGAAGCCTGAAGGGTTGAATGTCGTACTCTTGCTCCTATTTTCTATATTTCTAGTTGTTTTCTTTGCAGCGGTAAAGGTTGAGAGGCATCCTGCTAGAAGGTCACAGATAGGGTGGATAGAAAGGCTCTTTTTCCATTAGTTGAGGGGACAATAATCAGGGACATAGATTTAAGTTAAGAGGCAGAAGGTTAAGAGTTGAGGAGAAATATTTTCACTCAGACGGTGTTGGGAGTCTGAAAATCACTGCTTGAAAGAGTGGTTGAATCATAAATCCTCGTAACATTGAAGCAATACTTAAATACTTAGATCACTTGTGTTGCCATAACCTTCAAAGCTATGGCAAAAGGTTGGAAAATGGGATTAGTGTAGTCAGATCATTGTTGACAGGTAAGGACACAATGGGCTGTGGCCTACTTCTATGCTATTAAGATCTAAGTTGACCAGTGTTTGGGGGAAGTGCTATATTAGGGAAGTGCTTTAGCAAGGGAAAAGCAATATCGGAGGAGGAAGATTGGTGTGGACAAATCTTGTGCATTAATAGATGAGATTGAATTGCACTTTGCTGGAGTGCAAATTAGAAAGCGTAAGTTGGGGGTATAATTTAAGGGTATTATAAATCTTGGGGATGGAATGAGTATATGGGTGAAGCCTGTTTATAATGAAGATTTGGTGAAAAGATTGAATAACGATATGTTCTTGAAATGTATATAGGAGAGCTTTTTATATCAACATGTAGATGGTTCTACAAGGGACGGTACAGTCCTGAACCAGATTCTGGGTAATGAAACCGGAGAGATGTTCAAGGTGACAGTGGAGGAGCATTTTAGTGAAAGAAGAAAGATGGTCTGCAAAAAATTTGTTTTGGATTGGGGTAAGGCAAATTTTATTAAAATAAGGCAATCAGGCCAACTTAGACACTAGGAACAGCTATTTACAGGTAAATCTACAGCGAAACAGTGGGCGATCTTCAAAAATACACTGGGGGAATTTAGACCCAATATGTTCCCTTTAGGGTAAGAGCAACAAATCCAGAGAACCATGGAAGTCTAGGAATGTTCAGGACTGGATAAAAAGGAAAAATAGAGAGGTTTAACAAGTGCAAAAAGAGCAAAACATTGGAAGCCCTAGAGGATTACAAGAATGGAGGGGGTAGCTCAAAAAAACAATTAGGAGAGGCCAGAGGGGCCAGCAAGATTAGGGACAATCCCAAGATACTTTACAAGCATAATCAAGAGAAGAACCAGGGAAAGAATAGGGCCTATAAGGGACCAAGGGGACAATCAGTTTGTCAAGCCAGACAACATTGATAAATGAGTATTTCACATCCATTTTTACTTGGGGGAAAGATGCAAAGTACAGAATTCAAGAAGACATATTGTGACACTCTGGAGCAGTTGGATACAAGAAGCAGTTAGGGACATTATGTTTGAGATGTACAGAGCTTTGGTTAAGTCACAGCTGGAGTACTGCATGCAGTTCTGGTCACCGCACTATAGGATGTGATTGCACTGGAGAGGGTGTAGAGATTCACCAGGAAATTGCTTAGAAGGGAGTATTTCAGCTATGAAAAGGGGCTGGATAAGCTCGGATTGTTTCTTTGGAGCAGAGAAGGTTGATGGAGGACCTGATAGAGGTATATAAAATTATGAGGACAGAGTGAATAGAAAACAGCTGCTCTCCTTCAAGAAAGACTCAACAACAAGGGAGCATAATTTTAAAGTGAAAGGCTTAGAGATGATTTGAAGAAAAATGTTCTAATCCAGAGGGTGGTGGGGGTCTGAAACGCACTGCTTGGGAGGGTAGTTGAGACGGGAAATTTCACAACCTTTAAAAAGCTATTTGGAGGAGCACTTGAAGTTTTATAACATTCAAGGCTATGACCCTAGTGCAGGCCAGTGGGATGAGTGTGGTTTACTGTATTTTTGGTCGTAGAGACTCAATGGGCTGAAGGGCCCATACTGTACAGTATGATTCTAAGAGCAAGAAGAGGGAAAAGATTAAATAAAATAAAAGCACTGATCAAATATAGAAGAGACTAAACCATTCTTTGCTGTGTTCTGTCGAGGGATGTAATAAGCGTGGGGCTGGTCCATTCATGAAACAGTCTGCAAGCACTTACAGCTCAGTAAATAGTTGAGAGTTTATAAGGTGAAAAAAAAGTTTAGATTGGAGGAAGAAATGGCGATTGTAACCTCTGCTTTAGAGGTAGGTACATTGGTTTTAGTGGATGGTGAAGTGAGGCAAATATGTAACAAAACAAAACATGCTGGAAAGAACAACATTTTTGAATAATATTGATTGGTTCACACACATTTTTCCTACGGAGCAAAAAACAGACCTGTGAAAGATTGGGAGATGAGAACCATTGGCATGATTAGTTCAACAGACAAGAATATTGAAAAATTAGAAATATAGAAAACAGATAAATGGGCATGATTTAAAGTAATTGGACAGAACAGTTCATGAACAGATTGGCTGGAAGGAATCTTCAGTTAAGTTTTGGATGAGACAAAGGGATGCTCCAAAAGTTAAAATTCTGTGCCCAAATAGATAAGTCAAAACCAAATAAACATTCAGATAGGAGACATAAATGTTTGGGCAAAAGATGATTAAGGAAAGTATGTAAGTAGGTAACAAGTTGACGGGAATACAGAAACATGTCATCAGATCACGTAAAAGAAAATGGTAAAGGTTTTTAAAAGCAGTTAAAAAACAGCAAAGTTAGAGGATAATTTTCCACTTTAATTTTACAAGAAATAGTTTTTTGAACTTACTTTTGTCTTTCATCTGAGAGCGATCCATTTTGAAGTCAGACTTTGAGTTTTTTATTTCGGTGAACATTTGGGCCACTAGGATGTAAGAACAGAGTTAGTACATTTCCTAGGGATCATATCTAGAATGTTATTAAACTGGAAAGACTGCAAAAGAAATTTACAAGGATGTTGACAGGACTCAAGGGACTAAGTTATAGGGAGAAGTTGGACAAGCTAGAACATTTTTCTTTAGAGCATAGGAGTCTGAGGGGTGATCTTACAGAAACGTGTAAAATCCTGAGCAGCATGGATAGAGTGAATGCACTCAGTTTTACATTCCCCCAGAGTTGACGAATCGAGAACTAGAGGGCGTTAGTTTAAGGTAAGAGGGGAAAGAATACATGGGAACCTGAGGGGCAAATCTTTTAAACAGACTGTGGTACTCATATGGAATAAGTTGTCAGCGGAAGTGGTCGAGGCAGATACATTAACAACATTTAAAAGGCATTTGGACAAATACATGGATAGGAAAGGTTTAGAACAATATAGGCTAAGTGTAAGGAAATAGGATTAGCATGGATGGACATTTTGGTTGACATGGACCAGTTTGGATCAAAGGGCCTGTCTCCATGCTGTAGGACTCTATGACTCTGGATCGCTATACCTCCTCCAGGCTCCCTCAAACTCTCCATTTCTCTGATCCTTGCTTTGAGCATTCTATCAATCCCTTTACCACTAGATCATACTTTCAGTCATTGAAGCCTCATGCTCTGATACTCTGCCCCAGTCCTCGCCATCTTTGCATCTCCTTCTCCTTCTTTAAGATATTTCTTATAACTCATTTTAGAGCAAGCCTACAGCAGCAATTGTGGCTACTATCTTCTTTGTCTCAGCCTCTGATTTATGCCTGTTCATCTGAAGAAGATTGAGATGTATTTCCATGTTTAAGCAGCTGCATACTTTCTTATGAATAGAAACAGCACCTCTGCAACTCTATACCCTGAGAACAGAAAATCCATTTCTGTCTTTCCTTGATCAATTTCTTCTTGTTTGGGGCTCCATGCAGTCAGTTCAGGGGAGAATTGGTAAAGAGATATTTTACATACATATTGTAATGAACCTGTAATGTTTAGATATGTATCAATTTTAATAATTAACATACCAGCAAATACTGCAGAATTGAGTGCACCTACACTCACGTTTACTGGCTCCATCCCCGCCTCTTTGACCTGTCTGTCTCCTCTCCACCTATCTTCTCCTCTTTCCATCTTCTATCCGTCTCCCCCTCTCTCCCTATTTATTTCAGAACCCCCTTCCCCTCCCCCATTTCTGAAGAAGGGTCTAGGCCCGAAACGTCAGCCTTCCTGCTCCTCTGATGCTGCTTGGCCTGCTGTGTTCATCCAGCTGTACATCTTATTATCTCAGAATTGAGCGCTTATGTTTTGTATAAGATCACCTTTGTATCTAGCCAGGTAAGGAATCTGACATATCTGGTAGGAACATCATCTAGACATTCCCAATAGCAACTGAGGACACTGAGTTATCATAAAGATATGATCCTATTCCTCTTGGTTGTAGGGTCCATAACAGGGGACATAGGTTTAAGGTAAGAAATTAGAGGTTATGAGGAGATCTGAGAGAAACATTTCTCACCCAGAAACTAGAAAAAATCTGGAATTCACTGAGCTCTTCCTATTGGGATTTGACACTTACTGTTACTCTGCATCTGGGTAAGTTCCAATTGTGAGTTCCTCGTTTCATTGAATATCTGTGTGACTGAAATTGGAAAATACTTTAGAAAACATCCCAGCAAAACCTTTGTAGAAACCTCTACCCCCACATATTTGAATTCCATCCAAATGGCACAAACCACTCAGTTGGGCAAATCTGATGAGGGCAATCACCCACGTGCTTTGGTGTCCCTGCTATCCTGCTCTACTCAATGCCAATTCGATCTTTCCAGAAAGCTAGCGGGACAGCTGCCAGGTAAAGTTCTCTTCATATGTGGAGTGGAGCCCAAGGTCAGAGTAGAGAAGGTGGAGGGGAAGGGAGAGAGAATAGAGAAGGGGACAGAAGCAGGAAGACAAAAAGGAATATTGTGTGGGATTCAAGGAAATATCTATCATTTGGTGCATTCTATGCTCCCGGTAAAATTAAATAGTCTTCTATGAGTTCCAGTGAATCTACTGCATCTCTGATTTGTTTGCTGTTTAACATATTTAATAATTTAACATATATTAAATTGCATATGGTGCTCTGACTGAGGGCCCAGTTGTCACTTCTAAACCCTTGGATATGAGACATGATGATTTTTTATAAATTCATTTGTGGGATAAGAGCATAGGTGGTTGAGCCAGCATTATTGCCTGTCCGTAATTGTCCTTGAGAAGGCAGTGGTGAGCTGCCTTCTTGAATCACTGCAGTCTATTTGCTATAGATAGACCCACAATGCCATTAAGGAGAGAATTTTATGGTCTTGACCTAACAGCGAAGGAACAGTGATATATTTCCAAATCAGGATGGTGTGTGACATGCAGGAAAATGTGCAGGAGGTGATATTCCCTCTTATCTGCTGCTCTCACCCTTATTGAGGGTGGAAGACATGGGCAGGCTGAACATACCACTCCTGCTGCTGTGTCTTATAATTTTAGAAGATACTGTTGGATGAGCTTTGGCGAGTTGCTGCATTGCATTTTGTAGATGGTACACATGCTGATACAGAGCATTGGTATGGAGGGAGGAGATGTTGAAGGTGGTGGTTGCGGTGTCAACCAAGCAGGTTGCTTTGTCCTGGATGGTGTCAAGCTTCTTGAGTGATGCTGTAGATACATTTATGCAGGCAAGTTAGGGTTATTTCACAACACTCCTGACCTATGTTTTATAGATGGTGGACAGACTTTAGTGAATCAGAAAGTGAGCTACTTGCTGCAGGAGTCCTAGCCTCTGACCTGCTCCTACGGTCTGATATAAGTCTTGTGGTCCAGATCTTGCTACATTTGGATATGAACTGCTTCAGTATCTGAGGAGTTGTGAATAATGCTGAACATCATGTAATCATCTGCAAACACCATTTTTGACCTTATGGTAGAGGGAAGGTCATTTATGAAGCAAATGAAGATGCCTGGGCCTTGGACACTATCCTGAGGAACTCCTGCAGAATATCCAGAAGCTGAGATGATTCACTCCAACAACTACAACCATGTTTCTATGTGCCAGGTATGACTCCAACCAGCACAGAGTTTCACCTTGAGTACCCCCCGACTCCAGATTTGCTTGGAGTCCTTGATCTCCCGATGCTGCTTTTGATGTCAAGGGCAGTCACTCACCTATTTTCCATCTTCGCATCAAGGTTATAACGAGTTGAGAGGCCCTGGCAAAGGTCAAACTATGTGTCAGTAAACAGATTATTGTTGAGTAACTGCTGTTTGATAGCACTGCCAACGCCAATTTCCATCACTTGAAAATCACATGATGAAAATCGTAAATTAACTAATAGATTGATGATGGGTTGGAATTAGATCTGTCCCGATTTTTGTGTAGAGGACATAGCTGGGCAATTTTCCACATTGTCAGGTAGATGTCAGTATTGTAGGTGTACTGGAACAGCTTGACTAGGAGGGTGGCAAGCTCCAGAGCACTGGTTTCCAGTACTATTGCCAGAATATTGTCAGGGCTTGCACTCTTTATAGTATCCAGCGCCTTCAGCCACATTGTGATATTGCATGGAGTGAATCAAATTAGCTGAAGTCTGGCATCTGCGATGTTGGGAACCTCTGGAGGATGGTTCATCCACTCGGCACTTTGGGCTGAAGATTATTGCAAATGCTTCATTTTATATTGTGCATTAATGTGCTGGGCTCCCCCATCACTGAAGATGGGGATAGTTATGGACCCTCCTATTCCATGTGTGACTGTTCACCATCATTCATGATAATATAGGACTACAGTGCTTAAATCTGATCTGTTGGTTGTGGTAATTTTTTTTAGCTCTATCTATCAATTCCTATTTATGGTTTTGGGCATGAAAGTAATCCTATTTCATAGCTTCACTAGATTGACACATCATCTTTAGGTGTGCCTGGTGTAGAATCTGACATGCAACCCAGCACTCTTCATTGAACCAAAGTTGACCTTGGCTTATATAATAAAACAACTGCAGATGCTGCAGCTCTGAAGCAAACAAAAACAGAAATTGCTGAAGAAACTCAGCAGATCTGGAACCATCTACAGATAGAAAATATAGTTAGTAACAAGCATAAATACAAGATGATCTTATATTGCAACTACACATGTTTAGTACGAGGCATAAATACATCTTTCAAGTCCACTGACCTTTCTTCAGAAGTGGGACTTGATCCCTGGTTTGATGGTAATGGTGGAGTAGTGGATATGCTGGTCTGTGAGATTACAGGTTTAAATACTGATGACCCACAGTGCTTTATGGATGCCTGGGTGAGTTGCTAGATCTGTTTTGAATCTATCTGCTTTAGCGCAGTGATAGCACCACACAATAGGGTAGAAACAGGATTGAAAGTATCCTCAACATGAGAATGGTAACTTTCAGGAAGGCCCTTCTGTCTCTCCCTCTGTTGACTTCAGAAGGTGTGAAGATCACAATAATAACTCTGGTTTACTGCCACATTATTAGTACATTTAATGGCCCATACTATCATTCACTTGTCTATGGTCTCATAATTCATAGTGAGAAAGAGATGCTGCGTTTTACAAATCACTAGAAGATGCTGACTGATTTGCACTGTTTGCCATTGGTTTTGCCAGTTTACTATCCTCCTCACCAGAAGAATTGCTGACTTTGCTATGTTAAATAATCACTACTCTCACTGCAGGTCATTAGGATTGGTTGTTAATGGTGCAAAAAAAGTGACCATCTTAAACTATGATTTTCTTAATTTTCCTTTGTTGATTTTTCTTCCCTCTCATCCAGTTTTCTTTCCCCTCGATTTGAGATTCCCCTTACCCTCTCCCTCAGACTGAGATTCTTTCTCAATCTGGATCTCTCACTGATCAAGGAGATCGACTGTTACTCGCACTGTTCACTCAAATCCCTAATCTTCTTTACCCCTCACTGCATCACTATCAGTATGCACATCCAGCAGATTACACAGTAAACCATTTTAGTGCTAAAGGATGTAAGAAGAAAAGTCTAAGTGAATGAGACACAGCACCACTGCAGGAAATCTGCACTACAATAAGCTTAGAACATTGACTATAAGGGAACATACACATGATGACTCCAGTGATGAGAATTCCTGTTGACAGCAGGGTGGAGAGACCCAGGAGAATGTAAACAATCAGAGGCTGACGTTTTCCTTGCACTATAGCTTGGTCAGCATATTCTGCAAAATGTAAATGACAATATGAGGATGAAAAGGGGCAACAGCTCAAGACTAGCACTTCAGAAGCCTTTGGCAGGGTTCTGAGTTGCGTGTTCTTTCCATTCCGATAACTGATTGGATCAAAATTCTGGAACACCCTCCCTATGGCACTCTGGGTGTCCCTAGGCCACATGGACCACAGTGGTTCAAGAAGGCAGCTCACCATCACCTTCTCAAAGGCAACTTGGGCTGGGCAATAAATGCTGGGCCAGACAGTGATGTCCATATCCTATCAAAGCATAACATGGAACCAATCCCTATGATTTACTTTATTTTTAAATGATCTATTCTAGTCTCAAATGAGGACATTACTAGAAAGGCCAATGGTTTTAGACATCTCTTATTGCCCTTGAACTGAGCTACTTACTAGGTTATTTCTAGGGCAGTTCAGAATCAATCACATTGCTGTGGGTATTGAGTCGGGGTAAGGAGAGAAGATATTCTTCCCTAAAGCACGTTAGTGTTCAAGATGGGAGTTTACAACAATCATTCCGGAGTGGGCACTGCTGGCTGGATCAGCATTTATTACCCATTCTTAATTGCCCTTGAGAAGGTGCTGATGAACTACTTCCTTGAACTACTGCAATCCAGTTGGAGCAGGTGCACTCGCATTGCTGGTCAGGTGACAATGAAGGACTGTCAATATATTTCCACATCAGGTTGGTGAGTGGCTTGTAGGGGATGTTGCAGGTGGTGGTGTTTACATGTACCTGCTGATTTTGTCCTTCTAGGTGGTAGAGGTCATGGGTTTGGAAGGTGCTGTCTAAGAGCCTTAGTGAGTTACTGCAGTGCATCTTGTCAATAGTACACACTGCTGCTACTGAGTGTCGGTCGTGGAGGGAGTGGATGCTTGTGGATGTAGTGCCAATCAAGTGGCTGCTTTGTCCTGGATGATGTCATACTTCTTAAGTGTTGCTGGAGCTGCACTCATCCATGCAAGTGGGGAGTATTCTATCACAATTCTGATTTGTGCCTTGTTGACACATTGTAGGAATCAGGAGGTGAGTTACTTGCTGAAGAATTCCTAGCCTCTGATGTGCTGTTCTCGCTATTGTGTTTAGACAGCTTCTTCAGTTTAGTTTCTGCTTGATGGTAACTTGCAAAATGTTGATATCCATGGCCACAATTAACAAGACCAGCTACTTTTATTATTGAATTTTAATTCCATCAGTTTCTGTGGTGGGATTTGAATCCATGTCCCCAGAGCACTAACCTGTGCTTCTGGATTATTAGTCCAGTTACATTATCATTATGCCACTGATTCCCCTTGGCATACAGGGGCATCTCACCCTTTGGCATGGTGCTAAGCCACACAAATTAGGAATGTCACAGAGATGGTCCCTAGCTGATAAGAGATTTTGAAAGTTGTTAAGATTGACTGAGATTCACCATTAGGGAGAATAAGAATTGACCAAGGTTTGTTTTCTGACCATGATCTTGTGGCTGCTCCTGAAGCTTGCTGGTGGTTATTAGACACAATTGCATCTTTCAACAACAATAAACACAGACTCCCACAGTCAAATATCACATCAAACACTCACTGACAACTTGTGAAGTTATAGGGCAACTTTGACAATGCATCAAGAGGTTTGTCCCTAGGACCACACACCAGAAAATGTCTTTCATATTTTCAAGAGAAAATTGGATCTCTATCAGAAAGGAAAATTTTGCATGCTTTCAGGGGAAAGGCAGGGAGCGACCCTGGGTGCACTGCTCTTGCAGCGAATGTAAACAGCCATGATGAGATGAACAACCTCTACCTATACTGTAATCATATAACCTGTGCTATAATTTCACATTACTCTCAAGGGACTTAGGGATCATTTTAATTTATCATCCACTCTATACTACTGATGACTGCCCTTTGCCCATCATTTTAGGCTGAAATCAAATAGCATTATGGAACAAAGTTGGAGACAAAATAAAGTGGCAAGATCCAACATGTTGTGCTCAGACGAGTTTCTAAGCTCAATGCTGTATTTCCCAGTTTATGCTACAAACACAATTTTATTAAGGGATGGTCCCAGGGTAGGATTGGGCAAGAGATCATAACTCATGATAGTGATTATAACTCCATGACCTTTACTATAGTCATGGAGAGGGATAGGAGCAGACGGTATGGGAAAGTATTTAATTGGGGGAGGGAGAATTACAATGCTATTAGGCAAGAACTGCGGAGCATAAATTGGGATCAGATGTTCTCAGGGAAATGCACGACAGAAATGTGGAGGTTGTTTAGGGAACAGCTGCTACAAGAACTGAATAGGTTTGTCCCACTGAGGCAAGGAAAGGATGGTAACGTGAAGGAACCTTGGATGACAAGACATGTGGAACATCTAGTCAAGAGGAAGAAGGAAGCTTATTTAAGGATGAGGAAGCAAGGATCGGATAGGGCTTTAGAGGTCTACAGGGTAACCAGGAAGGAACTGAGGAATGGACTTAGGAGAGCTAGAAGGGGATATGAGAAAACCTTGGCGAGTAGGATCAAGGAAAACCCCCAAAGCATTCTATGCTTATGCAAGGAACAAGAGGATGGCCAGAATGAGGGTAGGGCCAATCAGGGAAAGTGGAGCAAACTTGTGTGCGGAGTCAGAGGAGGTAGGGGAGGTCCTTAATGAATACCTTGCTTCAGTATTCACCAGTGAGAGGGACCTTGACGTTTGTGACGACAGCATGAAACAGGCAGATATGCTCGAACAGGCTGATGTTAGGAAGGAGGATGTGCTAGAAATTTTGAAAAACATGAGGATATATAAGTCCCCTGGGCCAGGCGGGATATACCCAAGGTTTCTATGGGAAGTGAGGGAAGAGATTGCTGCCCCTTTGGCAATGATCTTTGCATCCTCACTGCCCACTGGAGTAGTACCAGATGATTGGAGGGTGGCAAATGTCATTCCCTTGTTCAAGAAAGGGAATAAGGATAATTGTGGGAATTACAGACCAGTCAGTCTTACTTCTGGGATGGACAAATTATTGGAGATGATTCTGACAGACAGTATTTATGATTATTTGGAAAAGCACAGTTTGATTAGAAATAGTCAGCATGGCTTTGTAAGGGGCAGGTCATGCCTCACGAGCTTTATTGAATTCTTTGAGGATGTGACAAAACACGTTGATGAAGGTAGAGCAGTGGATGTGATGTGTATGGATTTTAGCAAGGCATTTGATAAGTTTCCACATGGTGGGCTCATTCAGAAAGTAAGGAGGCATGTGATTCAGGGAAATTTGGCTGTCTGGATACAAAACTGGCTGTCCAATAGAAGACAGAAGGTGGTAGCAGATGGAAAGTATTCAGCCTGGAGCTCAGTGACCAGTGGTATTCCACAGGGATTTGTTCTGGGATCTCTGCTCTTTGTGATCTCTATAAATGACTTGGATGAGGAAGTGGAAGGGTGGGTTAGTAAGTTTGCCAATGACACGAAGTGGATAGTGTGGAGGGCTGTTGTAGGTTGCAATGGGACATTGACAGGATGCAGAGCTGGGCAAAGAAGTGGCAGATGGAATTCAACCCAGAAAAGTGTGAAGTGATTCATTTTGGAAGGTCAAATTTGAATGCAGAATACAGGGTTAATGGCAGGATTCTTGGCAGTGTGGAAGAACAGAGGGATATTAGGGTCCACATCCATAGATCCCTCAAAGTTGCTACCCAAGTTGATAGGGTTGTTAAGAAGGCATATGGTGTGTTGGTTTTCATTGGCAGGGGAATTGAGTTCAAGAGCCGAGAGGTTATACTGCAGCTCTATAAAACCCTGGTTAGACCACACTTGGAATATTGTAGATAACCAGGTGTAGAGCTGGATGAACACAGCAGGCCAAGCAGCATCAGAGGAGCAGGAAAGCTGACATTTCAGGTCTAGACCCTTTCCTGTTCCTCTGATGCTGCTTGGCCTGCTGTGTTCATCCAGCTGTACACCTTGTTATCTCAGATTCTCCAGCATCTGCAGTTCCTACTATCTCTGAAACTATCTTGGAATATTGTGTTCAGTTCTGGTCACCTCTTACAGGAAAGATGTGAAGCTTTAGAGACGGTGCAGAGGAGATTTACTAGGATGCTGCCTGGACTTCAGGGCAGGTCTTATGAGAAAAGGTTGAGGGAGCTAGGGCTTTTTTCATTGGAGTGAAGAAGGATGAGAGGTGACTTGATAGAGGTGTACAAGATGATGACAGGCATAGATAGAGTGGATAGTCAGGACTTTTTCCCAGGGCAGAAATGACTATTACGAGGGGCATAATTTTAAGAGGATTGGAGGAAGGTATAGGGGAGATGTCAAAGGTAGGTTCTTCACACAGAGCGCGGTGGGTGTGTGGAATGCGCTGCCAGCAGTGGTAGTGGAGTCAGATACTTTAAAGACTTTTAAGCAACTCTTGGATAGGCACATGGAGGATAGTAAAATGTAGGGTATACAGGGTAGATTGATCTTAGTAGGATAATAGATCGGTTGTGAAGGGCCTGTACTGTGCTGTACTGTTCTATGTTCTATGGATCAGTATCTGAAGCACCGAACCCCATCACCCAACATCTACCTCTGATGAAGAGTCATCTAGACTTGAAAAGTTAGCATGTTCTCTCTCCATGGATACTGTCTGACACGCTGTAATCTCCAGCATCCCCCAACCTCTATACTTTATTTCACTTTGTGTTCTTGACACTATCAGTTAAAGGGGGTGGCCCCATGCGAGGTGGGGTATAGGTATAGGCAGGGTTGTAGTAGAAAGGTGAGGATCAATACATTTCGCACCCATGACTTTATTTCAGTGTTTAACTACACTGTTTAATATTTGGGAGAATAATACATTCTCTGGCAGAAACGTTATCCAATCAATTGGAAAATAACTTGTTCCCTGTTGTTAATTGATCTGTAGGTTTATATTCAAGTGTAAATTATTTACAAATGGACTTTGGCCTAGCTGAGATCAGTTGCAAGCAGCTGTGAGAAGTAGGTATACCTGACTTAATGTTACTCTGTTCCTTTTCTTCCTTGTTCCAGTCTTCAGAACACACTTTCTGAACACCATCTCCGATCACATCAAGATCCATGATTCCTGCCCAATGAATGTATTCCTTCTGAAAAGAGAATATGTCAGAGTCAGTTCATAGATTTGACCATTCTCATTCTTTTAGCTAAACACCACTGGCTGCAAATTGTGAGAGTGGTATAAAACAGAAGTTTTCTACCATTATCAAATCAAAGGCAGAACACCATGGACAGTGGAGATCTGAAATAAATCAGAAAACACCAGAAAGAATCAGATGTCTGGCAACATGAGGAGAGAGAAATAGAGTTAATTTGAGTCCGATAGGACTCTTCTTTGGAACTGGGTGATACATATCATACTGTAGAAAAAAGTAGGGAGGGGCAGAAGAACAGAAGGAATAGTCGGGGAGGGTAGGGTTGCTGTAAGAAGGTGAGGATGTATGTATCTCAAAGAGACTAGAGAACACAGTTGTCATAGACTAGAGGCAAAGTAATTGTAGAAAAGTGACAAAGCATAGATTTACAGTAGGTAAGAGCCAATTTAAAAGTCACCAATTAACAAGTTATCAAGCTAACTGAACGGATATTTTTTGTTACCCACTGTTTTCCACACATCTTCTGGGAAAAGGTTTCTGAGAATTTGAAAACAGATATGCGAGGCGGCTCAAGTACACTTGATAAAAACCCTTCCATTTGTCCTTGGCTACCGAAGGAGCAGGTTTGGGTGATGGTGATAGAGGTCGGAGGGTGTTGTAACATCGGTATGTTATTTTTACATAATTTATAAATTTCTTTGGGTCTGCAATAAGAAAAGACATATTTCAGAGAGCAGGGACCTTCAAATTTGGAGACGCAACTAGCTCTTTTTAGCAGCAGAGTCTTTAGCCACACAGTATTTGTTCACTGTATGTGGAGATACCATTTCTCCTTCTCACCTTCCACTGTCATCTCTACATTCATCCCCATTCCATTCCTGTCTCCAACCCTTCACCTCCTACCCTTCCACTCTCCACATCCACTTTCGCACACGCCTCACCCCATTCTCCGCCACCCACTCCTTCCTCCTCCCATTCCCTAGCTTCCCTGCCTGCCATTCTCCCCTCCACTCCGTTGCACCATTTCCACCATTCCTAGTTGTGTAAAATTCTTGTTCTCAGTGATGAAGTCCTGCGAAGAGGCTCAACTTTTGTCCAAGAATTCTGAAGAAGGGTCTAGGCCCGAAACATCAGCTTTCCTGCTCCTCTGATGCTGCTTGGCCTGCTGTGTTCATTCAGCTCTACACCTGGTTATCTAACTTTTGTCCAAACTGAGCTGGGAGTTTATATTCAGGTATCTAATAATGTGAAGCCATCATTAACAGATAGGCTGTAACAGCAAACCATTCAGTAGCTCAATCTGTTTCTGTAGAATGTATAACATAGTCTCTCCTCAGGTTCAAAAATAACAGAAGATGCACTTAATTAGCACAAAATAAGATGCTGGAAATTCTCAGAAGGCCCGGCAGTGTCTGTGGAGAGAGGAACAGAGTTATTTAACATTTCAGAGTCATGTTCTTTTGATCATAATGTTTTGTCCCTCTCCAGAGAAAACACTTCTAGTTGACTGATTGAATAATTGTCCAGCTCCGTGGCATGAGCTCCATGAGGTCTGTACCACAGCCATTACAAAATAATGTGACTCATTGCACACTGTGAACTGAATCTAACTCTAATATAAACCAAAATGCTGAAGAAACTCAGCAGGTCTAGCAGTATTTGTGGAGAGAGAAACAGAGCTAATGTTTTGAGTCCAATATGTTGGGGTATGGAGCTGACCCTGAGACGACATGGAGTCTCCTCCCATCCCAAGTACCCACTGGATTAAGTAGGATTCCCTGCAGGTTCTACACAGGAGAAAGGGAAAATATATCATTTCATATTTGAATGGTTTGTTTCAACTCCCAAGCTTCTTAACATCTGGAGATATTTCCCAGTTGGTGGCTGAAACATTGAACAGAGAAGTTAACCTGCCTGGATCCTTTCTGAAATTTTATTTTGGTCCTATTTTTGTTCTGTTTTGGTCACACATCCAAACAGCTGGACAGCTTTCTGTGTTGAGTTTACCCAGCTGGTTGGTAGATGTTTCAAAGGCAGAGAGTCTTGAAGGCTGTAGCTGTCCTAATCTGATATCCACACATACTCTGACCAGAGCTGAGTGGGGTGATGTGATGGTTCTTGTGAGGATCACTGATCACACAGCCAACAAACTCAGAGCTCTTAAGATTCCAATCCCACTGTTAATTTGCTCTCAGCTGCTGTCAAACATGAGTATTTTTGGCTATTATCTGAATTGGCTGCAACATCAAGTGAAATCTCTCTCTATGTTTGACTCTAAGGCAACTTTTCCACTTGAACCTGTTGATATTGTCAGGAGGACAATAGTTCAGTAATGATTCTATGAGCTGTCTGTCTTATTATCACAATAATTTGCAATTTACCAACACATTACCTTCCTTCAGTAAGTGAGATAGCCAATAATTTGTTCTATATAATGTGATTCATGTTGTTATGACCTATTTTGGAAGTTGATTCTTAAGCCCCACTCTTCCCAGGTTTGCCACAAAAGCTAATGATCTAATCAAAGGACACAAAGTCCCAAATTTACCTGACCGTTGGAATCAGGTTTTCAGAACATTGACCATGTTCGTAAACTTAACACAATCTACTACTAATCACAAGTATGCAGCAGGGTGGCTCACTGCTGCCTCAGGTTTGATTCCAGCCTTGGGCAATTGTCTGTGTGGAGTTTGTATGTTCTCCTCGTGCCTGCTTGGGTTGCCTCTGGGTATTCTGGATTCCTCCCACAGTCCAAAGCTTAGGTGGATGGTAGAAAAGGTTGGGTGGATTGGCCATACTAAATTGCTCATAGTGTGCAGGGATGTGCAGGCTAGTGGGTTAGCCATGGGAAATGCAGGGTTACAGGGATGGGGAGGGTCTGTGTTGGATGCTCTTTGAAGGGTCAGTGTGGACTTGATAGGTTGAATGGTCTGTTTCCACACTGTAGGGATTTTATTTATACTTAAACATCTAAGAACTTACTCACTTTTAAGACCCCTACACACAGTACAGAAATACACAGACAAACAAAAAAAAAATGGTTTTATGGGTGGAGGAAAAGAAAACTGGGGACTACAGCTCAATAGTGCCAGTACACAAGAAGTCTTTTAGATACCAGTTAAAAACAACAGCTTACAGCAAAAACCGACCTATTTCAAGCTTCAGTTATTTTTACTGCAGAGAGAGGGAGGAATTAATCAGAGAATCAGGCTGATTACCTTTAACATTCACGACAGGTCATAACTGCATAAATCAATTAGCTATCTGTTGCAGGACAAATTCCACACTCCAAATGCACCTGGGACATGTGCCATCTACAAATAGCAGCTCTCTCTGAACAAAACAGCAGCTGGGTAAACACTGCACACAATGAGTTTCAATAACTCACTTTCGGAACTACTGCAATACCTTCCATAATCCTTTAGTTTTAAAACTGCCCTTCTCTCCACTTTAGTCCACAAACAGAAATATGCAAAAAAAAAATACAGTCTTTACAATAAACATTCACTTAAAGCACAGTTTGCACTTCATGGGTCTGTTGCATAGAGAGATATTGTCCATTTAAAAGAAATGCACACTGCTCCATTGGGTTCTATAGTTAACTCTCTCCCGCTTTCTTATACACTCGGTCTCTCCTTCCTCTCTCTTTACACATTCCATCACTCTCACCCTATCCCTCTTTCTTGCTATATATTGCATTTCTCTCGCCACCTTCTTTCATTCACTCTGTCTCTCACACATCATCCTGCTTTTAGTTTCAACACTGTCTTTAATTCTTCTCCCTATCCACCTCCAACCATTTCACATCCTTTCCTTCTAACTTTCCACACACTGACATTACATGTTCCTCTCTCCTCACTCTCTGCCCCTTAGACACAGTCCTCTCTTTATAATCCAAATCTTTTCTCACTTTCTTCAACATTCTCATCTTCTTACTCCCTCTCAAACTTTCAACCCTCTATTTCTCACACCCTCCTTCCTTTGAGTTTGAATTTGTTTAGACAGCAAACCTGGCCATTATTTACCTTGGCACATCCAGATTCAACACATCCACTCAGTAGTCCTGTGCAATTAGTCAGCTGCTGAAGTACAGGAACTTTGTATTGTTCGCTTTTTACTCAGGAATCTGGGTGAGGAAACCAAATCTTAGTGACAAAATTCCAAGATTGTCCAGTCATTTGATGAAAACTTCAGCACTTCAATGAAGGCCTGTACACGATAAGATAAATTGCTGAAAACCTCTGTGGAACATTCCTTGGCTGCTGGCACTGTGGAAATAGAGCAGGAGCTAATCAGGTTAAATAATATAGGGTGTCAAATTATTGGTATTCTGATTTCAGGTAATGTACAGGTGACGACTGCATAATTCCTTTTACCAGGACACTGGTAGGGCCAGTGACACAGTGGATGACCTGTCCCTGGGACACAGGAGGCTCAGGCATCATTAACTCATAAAGTCCTTTCTCATGTTTCCTTTTAAAATGACTGTAATTACAGAAGTGCAATCTGTGCCATTTTCACTTTGGGCAATTGTTAATCAAGTTAATGGCTTGCTACTTTTCCTGTACAACATTCTCATTCATTCACTAATGGAATGGAAAATCAGCAGAAATATAACAAGTACTCAGTTCAAGATTGCCAGTTCCCATGGATTTCTGCTAGTTAAGGGTCCTGGGATTTGGAGCAAAGGCAGGTAATTGCAGTGATCTCCTTTGGGTGTAGACATTCACCATTTGTTACACAGGGCCTGACTGAGTGTTAGAATGTGGGGCAGGGGAATCCAATAACAGCCCAGACTCCTCTCCAGCGACCCCTCTACTCATCTATATCCTTCTCCCCAGAAGGTTAGGTTTCCCATCTCTGTGGTCCTGCCTAGTGGTATTATTCACTATGCTATTAACCCAGTGACCCAGATAATGTTCTGGGGACCCAGGTTCAAATACCATCACGGCAAAAGACTGAATGAGGGAACACAACAGCACCTCA